ATACTTCCATCGATCAGAAAATGAATTTATGGTCTCTGTATTTTCGGCATTGTAAAAGTCTGCGTAATTTAATTGTTAATCTAAGGTCAAAAGTGAATTAGCATAATAATATCTGAACTGCACTGCTCTGAAATCCCCTGATAGGCATCTTTCTGACTCCTGCTCTTATAAAACTGTTCCCATTGGTTCTTGACCCTATTAATGTTGTTCCTAGATAAGCTTTGCAAGGGTAGTGTGTGAGAGCCTCTCTGCATAAGCAGTCCTTAGACGATGCAGTTGTGATGGGGGTGGCTGGTTTTTGTGTGAGATATTAAGCCTGCATCAATCCTGGTGCTTGTTATGATTTCCCCTTCATTTTCACAAACTTTGTTAGAAATGTTACTGCTTTTCTTCAGAGTCCATTCTGATGACATTAAATTATACATTCATAGATATAAAATTACTTGAGGCTGGGTTTTTTCCCCCTCATAGTATTCATAATATTTGGGTACATTTCACTATTCAGCCTTGATGTGCTTTTGGTGTCCTGGGTATATTTATTAATTAATGTCTTCTCTGTGTTTTGAAAGCCCATTAGTTTTAAGTACTATTGTTACCAGTGCTTAAATCTTGAGTTATTAAAAAAAAAAGCCAAAGCCAACAGCCACTTTGCAAGGTGGCAAAAGGCTTATTATGGTGATGCAAGAAGAGCATTTAATGTCATAATTTGTCTTTCTTTTTGAGAGGTTTTGATCCAGGGAGGTTTTTCAGGCACCTGGCCCTGGCAGCAGGAGCTGGGCTTGTGGTTCCTATATTATAAAATACAAGGGAGAATTAGGAAACTCCTTGAAAAGCACTGTGCTGAAATGAACTGTCTGATGTGATAAATGGGGAAATGAAGACAAAGTTGAAATGACCAAAAATGGGGTCCTCTTGGAATCCACTTGGGATTCCTTTGGTTTTTCTGATGATTATCTTCCACAGCAAGTCTGGGAATACCACAGCCATATGCCTCTGAGTGAAATGCAGCCACATCTGAGTTTGGACCTCCTGTGTCTGTCTCATGCATAGTTTCATCCATGCATAGGAGCCCATAAAATCTCCCCTTTCACCTGGACTCGCAAACCTCAGCTCAGCACGACATGCTGGCTGTGCAGTGGCTGAGTTTTTTAAAAGTAGGTGGAACAATTTCTGCTTCAGGCCTGGAGTTACGGTTAGATTGGTTAAAATAATCCAGCTTCTGCCCCAGTGGAAGCATCCCAGTTGCAGGATGGCTTTACAAGGCTGGAGAATCGGGGTCAGGCTTCCCGTTGCTGCGAGCTGGGCAAAGTCACCTGCAGAACGACGGTGGCCTGTGCTCTGCACCTTCAAAGTGGCAACACAGGGTACCAGGATAATGATGAAGGCGTGTAGGTCTCCTGGAGAAATGTCATTTAATTATTCATTGTGAACTGTTTGTTGAACTCTGCTCGCCGGGCCTCACACGTTTTGAGCTGGTTTGTAAGCAGAGCAAAAGGCAGGAGCGAATCCAATACTGTCTGTCTTGCCTGCTAATTATCTGCTTACTAATCCATGGGAAAAAGCCAAACATAAGAGGCATTAAAGTAGGTATTGAAGTTATCATTAGAGAATAGCTCTGCCACAAGGAAAGGCAGAAAAAATGTTAAGAAAAAGGTGTTTTGTAGGGATAAGTTACACCTCGTTTTTATTGCAGCTATTTACTTTGAACAACTTTTGGGGAGTCCTTCTGCAGCTCAGAATGCATGGATTAATGGTGTTTTATGTATAATTGGGTAGTATCTTATTTCAGTTTGCATAATTCAAGTGAAACCAATAAACTGCAAATAAGGGCAGAATAAATGCAGTGCCAGCAATCCCCAACATGACCAAGTGCAGTAAGGGAAGGCAGGTGGGGATAGTTTAGCAGATGGTTAAATAAAAACAAGCAGAAAATAACTACAATATTATAAAAAATAATAATAAAAAAAAGAGATGGAAGACGTTTTCTCATTTAGGTGACCTTTTATTTGTAGGAAATAGAATTTTGTTGAAACCTCAAACCAGCTTGCACCAGGTGAATGTTTTGTGGTTTAGAACTAAGAGAAGTTCCACTCAGACTTATGCACTTGCAGAATGAAGTCCTCGGGAGTAACCAAGGTATAATCTTCGCAGATCGTTAAAGCTCTCCATGAAAAAGATTGAGATACCAGTTGTAAGGAAAACAAAAGCAAACAAAGCACTTTGTTAGGTAGTTTATCTGCAAAAGGCTAGTTTTCCACACAGGAAAGGGTTAGTGTATCTGACAGGAGGTCTGACAGAAGGGGAGCGCTGGAACAAGCAGTTCTCCAGAAGAGGAGAGCAGGCAGTCTGACATGAAGGCTGTGCACACAAAACTCGTGCCAGACTCCCCTGTCTTAACATTGACACCTACTTATAGCCACCCAAGGAGAACAGTTCAATTACACAAAAATTGTGAATGGTTCCTCCCTACCAGATCTGGTGCGTGCTAAGCAGATAGCGACTGGTTGGGGTGATGAGGGGCTCAGATCAGTGGAATGATGCTTGCTTAGCAATGATAGGCAAGAAATGCATCTCCTCTGCTTTCAAGATCACATAAAATACCTTTGCCAACATCGTGCCTATTCACTGTGAGCAAAGACCCTATTCACCCCCTGAAACACTTCAGCACTCCTGAGGGCGTGGAGTCCTGCTGACTGTCAGCAGGAGTACTAGAAGGGGTCAGAGTCTGATCAGAATCAAATCACTCCTTATAATAGTCCCAGTAATTATAGAAAAGTACTGCTGCTGGGAGATGATTATGGATTTGTATACACCTCAGCTACTCCTTTTTAACCTTCTGAGAAAGCACTCTTATTATCTTCCTTTTCTTCTCATGCTTTATCACCTATGTCTTTCCTTGGGCATTGGAGGGGAAAAAAAACCTGAAAAATTATTGAGCTTCACAAAATGCAATGAAATCCTCTCTTTAAGTGCCAAGGGCTGGAGGTGGGGAGGGGAAGGAGCAAACTTTATTCTTTCTCTGATGTTCTGAGTACTCAGAAGTTGCCTATGAAACGAAGTACTCTGGGTTTCATAAGTGGCTAGAGGGAAGCAGGGTCAGTATCATGCTATCTTCAGGAAAACAGGAGTGCACAGTGGTAAGAAGTGTTCTACAAAGGCACTTCACATTTCAAGTGTTCTTTTCCTGGGGAAAAAAGTTATCGTACATCTAGTTTTGAGTGTATTTATAGCCCTATAATGTGTTAGCAGAATAAAGGAAATTTTTGTAACTCTATCTAGAAAATGCAAGTGGATGAAGAAGTGATTACATTTCAGATTATTTCTCTCTATCAAGAGTATCCAGTTTGGAAAATAATGCAAAAATTGTTTAAAAAGAGAGTATTATTCTTTTTTCTTCAACTTCTTTCTCAGCGCATTTCTCTGTATTTATTTCTTGCCATTAAAAGGACTGCCAAGGTTGTGTTAGCATCACCCTAAATGGCAAAGATTAATTCAGTGTGTAAATGAATCACAGAGTATTTCAAGTGGGATGGGACCCACAAGGATTATCAAGTCCAGCTCCTTCCCCTTGCAGAACTACCTAAAACTTAACCAAGTGACCAAGAGCATCGTCCAGATGCTCCATCAGCTGTTGCCAGGCTTGCTGCAGTGACCACTGCAGGGTGGTGCTGTGACACAACAGGGAGCTCTGTTCCAGGGACTGACTGCCCTCTCAGTGAAGAATTGAATGATAGTATGTGAGGGGTATTCTTCTGTGAATAGGGAAAATAGAAGTTCCCAGAAGGAGTGAAATAAAAAAATTGAGAAGGAGCAGGAGAATAGTGCTGGTAGAGCTCTGCAAGCTCCAGTCTGTGTGTATTTATGGTGTGCCACCAGCAACAAGATACCTCTCAAACAGGTTGGAGCTATGACTTTTATAGAACAGCGTGGCCCCTGCCCATGGCCAGTCATTACCACTTGGACACTAAAACAGGGGCAGGTTACTGGATCCTTCCCAGAATCACGAGATTACGGTCTCGTAAGGTGATGTCATCTGACTGTGAGCCACAACTGGGACACACTGAGCACCAGTGGGGTTTGGGACCTATTGGTCCAAACACGACAGGAAGAATTAGGGAGATGTCTGCATATTGTCTCTTTGTGATATAAAGAAAATGATATTTCCTTTTCATATGGAGAATCAGAACTGTGCACTTTCATTTCCCTCCAAAGAAAAATGCTGGACATAAAATCAAATGAGATTCTGGACTGAACCTCGGTACCTGCTTAACTGCTGTGTCAGACACCAGCACGAGCAGGAAACAGAAGCTTCTTCAAAGGGACAGTCTTCCCATTTCAAAAAACAAGATTTCTCCGACCATTACATCCCTTGGGGATCCCTGTTGGGACAGGACCCTTTAACATCTTTAACAATGACCCAGGTGGCAGGACAGCACACTCTCAGGAGCTTTGCAGATGTTAGCTTGCTGATAACACAGCGGGCAGGTCCAGAGGGACCTTGGTAGGCTGGAGAAAAGGGCTGACAGGGACCTCCTACAACGCAGCGGTGACAAATGGGATGCCATCACATTGGGCAGAAAAAATCAAGCTTGAATATAATCTGGGGGCTCAACAGGCTACAGAGCAGTTTTGCAGAAAAGTTCCTGACGTGGTGTCATTTTTTATTGATATCTCAAAAAGGAATTAACTGTGAGGGAGGTGTTAGGGAAAAGCCATGAGCAAAATTCTGGATGAGCGTTGCCACATCGTGCTGAGGATGGACCACATCATCACAAAAGCTGCAGTAAAATTTTGCAGGTTATCTCTAACCTAGCTAACCTGTCTCTAGCATCTCTGTGTGACTTGATTACCCCCTCGAAATGCTTAAATTTATTGAATGGGTCACTTTGCTTAGGTTCAAAAATAATCTGTGCCATGAGCACTTCCCAGCAAGTAACTGTCAGTGTAGATGTTTCTCATCCCTGGGGTTTTTATGTGCATTATATGACTGTTTCTTGCAGAGACTGAAGGAGCTGAAACACAGGGAGTTTGCACGGAATGTAGCATCTAAGTCACGGAAAGATGAAAGAAAACAGGAGAAAGCCCTTCAACGCTTGCACAAGCTGGCTGAGCTGAGGAAAGAGAGAACGTGGTAAGTACACAGCAGCTGAAACATAAAAAATATTTTAAATTCAGCCCTCCAATGTTAGCTGGTGCCGTGGGATGCAGGGTATTGGAGTCCCTTGGCTGCAGCCCCACACACACGTTTTTATGGCGTTTTGGAAGCTGTATGTGTACAGGATTTGATTCACACTACATGCACAAATTGCTTTTTCAGCTGAGCACAAAATGACACGTATTTTTAGTTTAAAAAAAAAACCAAAAATGTGTTTCATATATATTTCATAAAACCAGGCACATTGGTTGAAAGCTGAGTGAACTAGGTCATGCATTTTCAGGCTGACGCTACTTCATTGATGAGGTGAGGAATACAGTCTGTCTCTCTAGGATGTAACAGATCCCTGTGATTTAGTTTTCAAAACGCTTGCCAGGGAAAGCATCCAGAAATCTAGCTTTAAATTTCAATAGCTGGATTGTGTATATTAAAAGGTAAGCGCTCCTTTTCCCCATCTCAGCAGAGTGTTTACCTTCCTCTGCAAAAGGGACTCCATGCTACTCATACATTTTACCATTGCATCTGAACATACTGTAGAAATTAATACTGAGCTTGCTGGTTGTGACTGAATGCTAAAATAGGACACAGTTCTGACACAGATAAGCCACTGAAAATACATGTACTCATCACAGTGTAATCTCTCTGGGGGAAAAAAAGGATAAAAAAAAGGTATTTCTTGCTCAGAAATAGTCTCTTTCTCGCTAGGTTGGATGGTGGGCAGCATGATGAAACAGAGTCTGTCTGAGCAGGTGGATAGGATGTGAATGTTGTGAGGTCTATTTGAAACAAGCAACATGACACATAATTTTTTGATCTTTTAATGATAACTCATGTAGAGACTCTTCCTCCTCTATCAGTATTTTAACTGTCCAAATTTAATACTTGGGTGTATTAGATATTATTTTCCCTAAACGTGCTCCAGAATCTGAATTTAGCATATTTCAGGAGAAAGACAAAAGAAGAACTTACTGTTTGCATTTTTCGATGCTAGTGAAGCACAGATTTTGCAAGCTTTTGTTGCTTCTGGATTTTTTAAAAAAATATCTTTTTTCTAGTTCCTGAAGGAGAACTTCTATCCGAGCTTTATTTTTCTATCCAATAATTGCTGTTTACTACCACTTTGCATCCTCAGAAGTGTGATGCAGATAGAAGATTTTTTTAGGCTGGTATTTTCTAGGTTGGTTTTGTTGAAGTCACCATTTTATTCTTTTAAAGGAAGGGTTTGTGTGGAGTTTTTAATATATATTTTTAATTTATGAAGAACTGGGCAGGGCAGGACTTCTCATGAGGAATTCATCTCTTGTAAAACCTCTGCCTTGATTTCTAGACCTGGTAGGGTCACTGTTCTTTATCTCAGCACTTTTTGGGGCCCTAAATGACACTAGCAGGTTTTTCCCAGTGACTCATCTAGTACTGCTCTGCACTAACACAGAATAATTTGGTTAAAACAAAAAAATTGTCTTAACATAGGCCCATTACTCCTAGTGCTGAGCAGTTCCTGTGGATCCTGGAAAACTGGTAGTTAAACAGTTTTTGCTTTTCTCTTTCCTTCCTATTAAGTCAAATGGAACAGATGGGAAGAGGACATGAAATGGAGAACAGAAGTAGACAGTGATAAATTTTTTCTCAAGAGGGATGAATCACTTACTTCACTACTGTCAGCTGAAATACTCTCCCCAGTTTTATTTTTCCATGAAAGAAATTGCTGAGGTGGCGATGGTTTGGTCTGTGAACACAAATAGGGTGGGAGCTGCTGGGGGATTGCCTGTGGGCAGAGCAGCAGTCACTGGGATGATGACTAAGAAGAAAGTGCTCCATGAGGTGCTCTCTGTTTGAATATATTTTGTAGCACAAAGGAATGTAAAACCTCTGCTATTTGTAGCAATAGTGTTGTAACCATGATGGTCTACTGGGGGGGGAAGCAAGATTTCTAGGGAGATATACAGTCTCTTATTTGGCCAGCCAGTGTGTCTAGGAAAAGTTAACTACTTTGTAGGAATATTAGTCCTGCAGCTGATAACACATGAAGGAGCTGGGGGTGTAATATTTACTCACCTTTTTCTTTTTTCCCCCTAATTCTGATAAAAGATGACTTTTTTTTTTTTTCAGACATTCTAAATCTACACATCAACAGATTCTTTGTCTTTCCTTAAAAAAACTCTCTTAGATACCAGTGTAATACCATGTTTCTGTGAGCAGTTCTCTGAGAGATATTGTCTCAAAGAGTTTTGTTTTCCTTCCTAGTGCTCCTGGAAGCGGCCCTATGTTCAAATCCACTACAGTGACTGTGCAAGATGACTGCAATGATCTCCCCAAAAGTGCTGCCATGGATTCTGCCAACAAGCAGGATTCCAGCTGTACATTAATGCACGATGCACAGAACTGTAAAGACGTTGCCTCTGTTATTCCATCCACTCCTGGGGATGTGTGTAGTAACAAATCCGATGCTAGCAAATGTGGAGATCAGGTTCAAGGAGCTCAAGGACATAGAGTTGGGTTCTCCTTTGCTTTTCCCAAGAAAGCAGCAGTGAAACTGGAGTCTTCAGCTGCTGTTTTCTACGAATATAATGATGAAACTTCAGTGGAGCACGGATTTAGCAGGAGGAGTAGGTTTATCCCGGGAACGTGTAACCTGCAGCCTCCTTCAGCAGCAGAGACGGTTGTATGCCCTGAGGAGAAACCAAACTGTTTTCACCCACCAGTGGACAAATGCACAGACACAGCAGAAGCTCCTGAGGCTCAGGATTCAAAAGAGCTGGCCAGTGAGGAAAGCAGGATGCTGGGGAGTCCCTCGTTAACTCCTGCTCTGTCCCACTCAAAGCAGCTGGTTCCCTCAGACACGGATGGCCATGATCTGGATGGGAGTGCAGCTGACTCACCGGACCAAACACTGCCTGTGGCTGTGGACAGTGCTCAGGTCCTGCCCCCAGACAGCACTGGGTACGAGCTGCAGGCAGACAGGGCTCTTGTTCAGGAGGTTGTGGAGGATTGTTTGCCCCTGCAGGATGCTGCAGAGGAAAATGACAAAGATGGGAAGAGTGATCCATCCACAGCCGAAATGGAAATAAAAGATCTGGGGACAGAAGCAGTAGTTTCATCACCGTCTGAAGAAGGTAGTAGTGGAGCCCCAAAAACCAAACCAGACTTGCACAAGAGACCGTGTCAACCCTTTGTTCCCGTTCTTAACAAATATGGATCAAATATTCTTCAGTGGCCATCAGAAATGTTAATTTACACAAGTACAGACCCATCGATTTCCTACAGTTGTAATCCTTTATATTTTGATTTTAAGTCATCCAGAGCAAGTGACAGTCAAGAAAAGCTCAAATATCAACCAAGCATACCTCATTTGCACCATAAAACTGAATCTAACCGTATCTTAGTCTCGGATTTTACAAATAAACCTACTTCAGAGTGTGGTGATTATGAAGTGAATAAAAATGTGTGCAACCATACAATACCCCTTATAAATGATGTTTCCCTTTTCAGAAATTGTGACCTTGCAAAAAATCAAAACAAAGTGTCCTTGGATGATTCATTCAGGATTAGAAAAATAGAAAAGTATCACATATCTAAAAACCACTTACGACAAAACACTGTGATAGATGAGAAACATAACAAAGTTTGGATCAAAGAAAGCCATGAAAAATGGCTTCACAAAAACAGAAAAAGGAAAAGGAGGAGAAAGTTATGTCATTGTCATCATCATCACTGTGGGGACACAGCAGCAGCAGAAATGGAGATATCTCCAGTAACCGAGAAAGAAATTGCTTACAGAGATGAAAATAAATATCAGCATATCCAGAATAATGCAGAGAAGTGCAGACACGATGCAGGGAATATCTGGTTAACTGCAGGTGAGATAGAGCAGTCACATCCAAAACTTGGCATTGAAAATGCTCATAAGAGAGTCATGTCTGCATCAGATCATGTACACTGGGACAGAGGCTGGTGTGACTTTTGGAGCGCAAAAAACAGTGGCAAGCACCGCGGTTGTAAACGGCTGCACAGAAAGAGCAAAGCAAGCTCTTGGAGGCAGGCAAAGCAGCTGGCTCCATGTTCCAGGAAGCACAGCCTAAAGCACTCTAAAACATGTTGCAGCTGGAAAGTCCGGAGGTCGAGCTGCAGCCCAGAGCATAAATGTTTAGGACAATGCAGCGAGGAGAAGGGTCCGAGTCGAAACCAGTCTGTAAAGAGAGGTTATAGCATTCTGACGGAAGAACCTGAAAAATGCCACCGCAAGCGGAGGCAGCACACCTACTCCTCATCATCAGATGAGAGCTCTTGTGGACAGACATTATCAGCAGAGGAATATCTAAGGCAAGTGTCTACTTTAGTTACGTATCGCAAAGCAAAAGGGAAACACAAGAGAAGGAAAACTAGAATCCATCATGTTTTCCTTGACAGGAATTCAAGAAGTGAGACCTCCGGACCTACCAAAGAAAATTCTGCAAGTTCTCCGTTAAATATTTTGGGGGACTTATTGACTCAAGACAATCTAGAGGAAACTAATGCAGATCCCAAAGCCGATGGTGCAAAAGATACAGATGAAACAATGGAGCTGGAGGAAAGCAAGTCACCTGTAGAAACTGATAGTTCACCCCTGCTGGAAAATGATAAACTGACGGCGTGTGCAGCGAGGGAGAGCGCGCCGGATACATTTCCTGATGTCATCGCAGGCTCCGCTGCTCCTGTTCCTGAGCGCAGTGCTCCGGCAGCTGCTGGCACACAGGATGCTCTGCAAGATGAAAAGAAAAAAGAAAATGCCACCAGTCACGAAAATCAAGCTCGTTACAAAGTCCCCCTCTCCAACAGACATTTGGAACAAGCTCCTCCTAAATCCTATCTCTGCCGTTATGAGTTGGCCGAGTCTCTACCGCACGACAAAATGGGTGAGGTGACTAGTGAATGGGTACAGTGTAATCCTGGTATATTTAGCAGCCCGCCACCCTTGCCATTCAAAGAAGCACACGTAAACAGTCATACCTTTTTGACTACCGAGCAGTTAATACCCCCCTTCCCCCTGCCCGATCAGACACTGATATTCCCTCCCGAAAACCATGAAAAATTCAAAGAGCTGCCATCTGAGGCGTATCAGCAGATGGTGCCACAGAGCGTGCTGCCCAACAAGGTGAAGTTCGCCTTCCCTCCCGCGGCGATCCAGCCCCCGAGTTCCGCACTGCAGCCCTTGCCCCTGCAGCCGCCGCTGTGCTCTACCTCCGTCACCACCATCCACCACACCATCCTGCAGCAGCACGCCGCCGCCGGCACGCTGAAGGTTCTCCAGCCGCACCAGCAGTTCCTCTCGCAGGTCCCGGCTCTTTCCAGAGCACCTTTACCTCATCTGCCCGTGGGACCGAGGCTTTGCCCAGGGGGCCACGCTGCCTTCGTGGCCCCGCCACACTTGCCGCTGCTGCCGCCCTCGGTCCTGCACCCGACCCAGCTGGCGTTCCCCCCGCTGCCACACACCGTCTTCCCATCCCTGCTGTCCCCGCACCCAGCTGTCATCCCCCTCCAGCCTCTCTTTTAGGACAGGAAGGGGATGAGGGAAGGACCCTTCAGCTAAACGGTCCTGATGTTTCTACCCTCAGCTTTGCAAAACAGTTCTGTGAACTAAGCTGGTTAAAATTCCTCGTTCCTTGGGAAGCATTTACTGTAAGTATAATGATGCAAACATTCATGGCAAGTTCAGACCTGTACTATAACTAAAGCACTGAATAGTCTGATACTAATTATGAACTATATATATATATAAGTGAAAATCATGTCTTAGAATATGTATAATGTATATAAAATATATTTATAGTTCTATAACTTATGTTGTAAAGTATTCACTTTTTGTTTTTTATCTTTGTGTATTTGCACCTATTTAATGTTTAGACAAAGCTGATGCACTATGTTTTGTACTATGTTCTCTGAAACTGTAAATCTAGTGACAAACTATCTCTTGCAATAAATTTTTGTTAACTACTTAAGTATATCAAAAATCTTTCATTACAAGCCTCATGGATGTTGTTCTTCCATGTCCTTCTGCAGCTGAATGGCATCTTTTACCCCTGTTATGTTGGGATAATCAGGTTTCCCACACGTCAGTGATTTATCAGGGAGGTTCACAGGCCAATACCTTGAGGGCCGCTGTCTTACTGAGCCAGAGAAAGGGTAATAGATGTGTTTGTGTTAGTGGTTTGATGTCACCATGACAGATTTTGCCTACTTGTGGTATGTGCACAAATTGCTGACTGGTGGAGCTAATCCCTTTTATACTAAACCACAAAAAGACAGTGTAACAAATATAACATCGGCAGTGGAAGGGAAAAAAAAAAAAGAAGGGTAATATTGATGGCAGTTTGACTTGAAGAGGATGTTGCTTGTGGCGGCAAGGAAGAGCACAGGGGAGGTCTTGGTTCCACCCAACATGCTTTGTGTGATGGCACCAAGGCCCTCAGGGGGTGGAGCTGTGCGTGGGAGGGTCTTGCTGCCTGGGCAGTGTGTGAAGGGGAGGTCAGAAAGAGCTTTGCATGGGAAACCCACCAGAGTTTAGTACAAATTCTTACCTCACTTCACCCCTCTCTTTCCTGCAGCGTTTTGCTGAAGAAACAGAATGTCACAGAATCCAGACTAATTAAAGTAATAATATACTGCCAGTATTTCTAACTGTACTACAGAGACTTCTCCCTACCTCTGCAGCCTTTTTATTGTTGTTGAACCCCACCCAACTTTAGCCAGTGAAATCTTCCCCTTTGCTTTGGCATGAGATATATCAGACCTATGCCTGTGATGGTCAAGAATAAAAGCAGGAGTCATTCGGAGATAGAGTCATCTCTTTGAGTTGAATGAAGTGTTACCACATGAGTGAACCTAAGGATTTGCAGCATGATGGTTAGTGCCAGTAGTAGGTCCTCCATAATAAAAGGACCTCCCAGTAAATTACTTCTTTTCACCTTTTTGTACAGTATAATAAAATCATGTAAAGCTGAACTGAAGGAATAGTAAATTCAAAGTATTATTAATATACATTGTATACTAATAGCTACAGATATTAACCATTTGGAAAGTAATACTATATCCTAAAACATGTATATCTGCACATTATTTTCTGCATCTATAACTTTAGAACTTACCTGTATCAATATTGCACGTTTCAGCAATCTATTACATTAAAACTATAGCAAACAACATCTTTCCCTAAGATTGCAAGAGTCAGCTATTCATGTTTTCCATGTTGTGCAGTTGCAAAGGGCTAAACTACATTAATAAGCAAAAAGTTGGTAAGAAAGAGCAGATGAGCAGTCAGGTCCTGGAGAGCAGGTTGAATCCCCTGCCTGAGGCTGCAGCATGGAGTGAGATGTTGCTGAGCACCCTGGAATTCCATAAAGAAAGCGTATTTTCTCTAGTTCTGATTTCAGGTGAATTCCCATTTCTATTTGTGTGATATCTGAAAAATATAGAAATAAGTGACTTTGCACTCCTTTATTTCAAGAGTTTACCTACATTATGTGTGTGTCTCCACTGCCTCCCGTGCTGAGCAGGGGGTGGGCGTGGGAATGTCTGTTGGAATGTCTGGGAGGGGGTGTGCTGGCTGCCCTGGCTGTTGCCTTGGTTGGCTTGTGCTGGCTTCTGCATTTCTGCCTCCTCTCTGGGAGTCAGCACAGGCAGTCCCCTGGGTTCTGGTGTGCCATCAAAGACAAGATCCACCTCATTTTATAGCAGTACACTTAAAACAAACAACCACATATAGGACAAATATGATTGCACGCTCTGGCAGGAGATTAAAAAATCACCAATTTAAAATTTTCAATTTCAATGTTCTTTGAAAAAATCCCATCTATTAACTTGGAAGTCCACATTTTTTCAACAAAATGTTCCAACAGCTTTGAATTCTACTTTTTTTGTCTTACAATATAAATTATATTTTCTATATTAAGTTGTTAAGCAGTTTTAAGGTATTGCACAATTCTTTATTATCTACTGTAATTGCTGTTCAATAGTGTATAAACTACTTAAAATAAAAGGCTAATAACCATAAAATGTAACAATTTTCTAATATGATATTTCCTTTAATGCTAGAACTGTTTGTATATGTGAATTCATATGTAAAAGCAAAACCAGTATAAAAAAAATAAATCAGAAGTAAAGTTTAAAATTGAACACACTAAATTAAATTGCCTAATAAAATATACTTTTGAGTTTCTGTTTTATTATTAAATATATAACTTCTAGTAAGTTATATAAGGGTAGTTCTTCTTCTAGATATTTTATCTGGTGTTTTAGATTGTGTGTTTTTGTTCCATAAATTGTAGTCTAATTCATAAGCAAAAACTATTGCAAATGCTAAATAATTAAATTTTTATCATTCTAAAAAAATTTAGCCACATTTGTTACATCTGAGACATTTAAATTTGATTTTACAAATTTTCACAGATCTAGGGTGTCTGTGCTCCTGGCCAGTTTGCCAAATTTTTGGAATTACTGGGCTTTCTTCCTAATGTAAACAGTAAAAGTGATACTCTCAAGTGGCAAGAATTAGACCCTCAAACCTAAACCTAAATGAGGTTATAGATTTTATTAAGTCATTTCCCAGACCAGCTCTGCGGAGAATTACCTGAAAAAGTTAACCTATTCCACTGAGATGAGAAGAATACCTTTATTTTGGTCCTTGGAAAGTTGCAATCTGCCCAGCCTGACCTTCTTGGGACATTTGCATTTCTCAGCTAACAATAATGGTCTAGAGGAGCTTTTGGGCATGAAGGAATGTGACTGTATCACGTTGTTATGGGCAGTTTTGAGTAACTGGACTCGTGCCTGTCTCTGGTGTCTGTAAGTACATAGAATTTTTGAAATGCTACCAACACATGGAAAGAATCTGATCACTTATTTGGTTTCCTTCTTAAACTGGAAGCTACACAAGCTGTCACTTGCTGGGGAGAAATCAGCAGATTTCAGATCCTGCAGGAGCGAGCAAGGGGTTGTAGCGTACAGAGAAAGTGTTGGTCCCAAACTTTGGTGGAGGAAACACGCTGTATGGAGTATTTTTGAGTGAGAATGTGTTTGTTATTCGGTATAATCAAAACCAGTGAAATCATTATGAAGCAAAGTCTTACTTTCAGTGTTAACTTTTCATTAGCACATCAACTTTTACACTTGTTTTGGATGTGGTAAATGAGGCTTTAAAAGACCATTGGGACATCAATTTTTCTTTATTTTCTTTATGTATTACTGTACATGATAACATGCTGCTTATACAACACATGACATGGCTACAACTTTTCTGACAAGTTCATTTTCTGTAGCTGCATTTTCCTCAAAATACATGTTTTGCACTTTGATAATGTTTACTTAATTTCCTATATTTAAAATACAGCTTTAGGTATAGCTGGGCACAGTCTTCATTGTTGTAAATCAGTGCACAGCTTCTGACTTCGGTGGGATTTCATTGGTTTGTAACCACCCGAAAGTGGTTCATGTTGAAATGCTGAGGGTTTTGTTAACTTTTCCAGATTGAGGCAATACGTTAACGACCATGTGAATGTATTTTGAAGATGGTTATTTGTTTATAACTAAGGTGGTGAATTTTAATCTCCTGGGTATTTTGCCATGGTGCTTGTAGTCTGTGTGTTCTAAACTCCTCACATTCATTTTCTAGTCTCTGTTACTGTACATTGCCTAAAGGCTTGTATATATGTAGCAGTGCACATATTTATGCAATATGCCTACCAGTTGTAAAATATTACAGTGCTATACCAACTCTCTATATTGAAAGTAAAGACGTTTTTACTGTATAAAGATCATTTGATATTTTTAAATTAACATGGCTTACTATCTAAATGTGTATATTGTTTTATAGATCACTTTGATTTAATGTTTGCAGCAGGCATATTTTTGTATATTATTTTCTTTCCCTCCTTCTCCTCTTTACTTCAGGAACACTGTAAAATTTTCTCTTTTTCTGTTTCTCTGTGACTCAGATTATCAGAGTTTATTGAGATTTATCTATTTATGAAAATGAATCAGGCTTTTTTATTACTTCCAACTGCAATAATTAGTGCACCAACTATAAGGATTATAAGACATATTATTTTTAATTCAAGCTTCTGTTTTATTTTCTGTATTTTGTAAAAGGTTTGGAGAATTTCTACCCTGGGTCTAAATTCTGACCTGTTAGTGTGCTTCTGAAACCAATGGAGTCTAAGGAAGCTTTGCTATTGGTATTACTGAGGATTTATTTTGGCCTGGGATATTAAGGCTCTTTATTTATTAAAACTGCCTAATACTTTCTGCTTTCAGTTGAATAATAATTTCATAAGGTATAATGAGGAGCACAATCTAGTAAAGACAAACTAATCCATTTTTAATCAGTCGTCTACCTCCTTTGTTGTAAAGATATTTATGTAATTAATGACCATAAAGGTATATCTTTAAAATCTCTGTTCTGTATTGTCAGTGTTTTGAAACCCATACACGCGCCTTCTACTCTGATACCAAAGGAAAAAAAAAAATCAATTAGGGGAAGTACTGGATTTTCTACCTGTACATACTCATTGAGAAGTTTCAGTAAGTAGGACTACATTAATACAGTATAAGGTAAAATAATGTATCAGCAGTCTTTATTTTTGCTGGGGCAAAATCAAAATGTGCAAATCCATGTAGAGAAAAAC